GGATCAGGAAAACTGGGAGGCTGTGAGCACCCAAGTCCTGGTTCTTGAGTTCACCTGATTCCTTCATTCTTGTGCAGACAGTCACCCTCCATCTACAAAACAGCCACTCTCCCAATTACATGGCAGTAAATTACAGTGTTCATTGGAATTAAGTTCCTTGTATTCTCTGCTGTCTTTAGTGATTCCAAAACTTGTTGAAGATGATTGTCTTGGGTGAGCCAGCCAGAGGAAGGGAGAAGAGATTCCTTCTAAGGTTTGAAAGTTCCGATGAATGAGTAATTAGAATGCCGAGGATGATTCTTCAGGAACCATGGAAATAGCCAGGAACCAGAAAGAAGCAAAAGCCTTTCTTGGAGAGGAAAGACTCTCCCCGATTTGTAAGAAGGTGATAGCTTTCAGCCCCTTCCAAGGTCCCCCACGGCATCGGGGATGGGAAGTTCTAAGACACGGGGAAAGAATATGGCCTCCCTAGGGGTTCCTGGGCCCTGAGTGCTAGCTTCCAGAGCTGAGGCAGGGCTGGACCTGACACTCACATCCTCAATTCCTGAACTGTTTGGGGGAAAAGAGGATAGAGGCACCCTGAACCTGTGGTTCATTTCTTTGCATCTCTCACTGTGAATAGGGAAGGTTTGGGGCAAGCCCTGATGTGTGCAATGAAAGCTGTCTTTCTGGATTTGCAAGTAGATTAAATGAGGTTGGAGTTTTACAGAAAACAGGTTTCCAAACACATTAGCCACAGGCCAAACATCTCCTCAGAGGAATTTTATTTTTAGAAGAGCCTTAAAAGTATTTCCTTTACAGTACCTGAGACTAAAATCAATCCCTGTGACAACTTGACACTCCATTTACTGTAAGCCTTTGGAGATAGTAGAACTATTTGCCCTATCTCACCTGAGTAGGGTTGAGCACTCACTGAGCATGAGAGAAAACCTCCGAGAGAAAACCTCCCTCCATGAAGGCTGGGAGCAAAGGGGGCGGGGAGCTCTCCTTCCATTATGCTCATGTCTCCCACTTTTCAATTTGTTTGACAGAAACCACCAGATCAGAGAACCACGTTCCTCTTTGGCTTTGTCACAATTTGGGGCATGTCACAACTTCTCCAAGTCTCAATTTTCCTATTTATGTAAGAAAGAATTGTAAAAATCATTTCCTTCCTAACCCAGGAATTACTTCCAGAACCACAAAGACACACCTGAGGCTCCTTCAGCTTTGCAAAAGGCACATATTTATCAGCACAAATTTAATTTCAATCATTTCTGGAGGTTTTACGTTTAAAGTGGAAAACATTTTGGGGTGCCTAGGTGGCTCAATCCGTTAGGTGGCCGGCTCCTGGTTTCGGCTCAGGTCATGATCTCAGGGTCCTGGAATCGAGCCCCACGTCGGGTTCTGTGCTCAGTGTGGAGTCGGCTGGAAGATTCTCTCTCTCCCTCTCTCTCTGCCCCTCTCCCAGCTTGCTCTCTCACACGCGCTCTCTCTCTCTAAAATAAATAAGTAAATCTTTAAAAATTTTTAAAAAATAAAGTGGGAGGGGCGCCTGGGTGGCTCAGTCGTTAAGCGTCTGCCTTCGGCTCAGGTCATGGTCCCAGGGTCCTGGGATCGAGCCCCGCATTGGGCTCCCTGCTCCTCGGGAAGCCTGCTTCTCCCTCTCCCACTCCCCCTGCTTGTGTTCCCTCTCTCGCTGTCTCTCTCTCTCTCTCTCTCTGTCAAATAAATAAATAAAATCTTTTAAAAATTTTTTTAAATAATATAGTGGAAAACATTTTCATGATTGCTGTTTCAATTCTTCCAACAAACCTATAATGTCTTCTAGACAAGGAGATTGGGACTTAGAGAGATTATGTATTTTCTCAGTCCCAGAGCTATGAAGTGATAACATGGTACAATTCATTTGTTTCTACTGCCGAAATTCCTCAATATTTTCCAGTTGAATTCGGCTACTGATCACAAGTTATCTGCCTGAAGAGTTTAATATCAAATCATAATTACAATAATTGCTACCAGTTGAGATTCTACTATAAGCCATGTGTTTGGGCATTTGTGTGGGTTAATCTTCACAGCACCCCTGCAAGTAGGTGATATTGTCCTCATTTTATAAAGGAAAAATAAAAATATAAATATAAACTGAGTAAGGATTCAGGTCTGTGTTGTACTGCCTTCTACTCCACAATTAGGAGAGAAAGAATTCCATAGGGGACCCTTCGGAAGGTCTAACAACCGTCCCAATATCACTAAGTTCTTGGGGACTTCAACTCAGGGTGCTTTTATCGGGGCAAATTTTTTAAAACTCACCAAAATCTATTTGCTATTGACTGTGGAACACCCAGAAGGTATGATAGCGCCATAGTCTTTTAATGAAGACTTCCTACCTCAGTGGGGAAACTCGCTCTTGTCCTGGGGAAATCCTTCCTTGCTAACCTTCCCCCTCTGATTACAGCACAACAGCATTTTTCAAAAGCAATTATTTGTAGGTCTTCTAAATGGGTTGATTAAGCTGCAGGAAAATTTAGGGGAGACTCCAGCTTACCTCTCCAGAACTTTTCAAAAGGCTCTGTAAAGTAGGGGGGGGTGGGGTGTGAAGTTGCATTTGAAAGGAGCCGGAGTAAGCAAGGTACAGACCATCCTAATAGGCCAGGGAATTCAATCTTATAATCACCCCAGAAAGGGTAAAGTGAACACTAGAAACAATGTAAAAACAAGAGGACTTTTCACCTTCAGGTGTCTGGCAAAATTGCAGCACTGCAAAATGTGGCTTGTTCCAGGTAACAAGTAGTAAGCATGCAGTCCCAAGGGTGTTGAAGCACTATTCTCATGTTGGGCAGAGGGACCTCTGCCAAAGTTCTCTGAAGTCTGTCTGTGCTTTTGCTCCTGGAAGCCTCCCTTCCCAGGAATATATCCACAAATGAATCACTCTAACCACCAGCCCCCTCCAGGAGAAGGCTCATCCTCAGGGTCTCGAGAACCTATTTTGCACATAGAAGAAAGCCTGTTTCACTCCTCGATCACATGGAGAATTAAGAGGAATAAAAGCTTAACCAAGAGTTCACATCATGTGCAATTTAAAAAGAATACCCACATGTAGTAAATACCTCATTACATATGGGTAACTTCGTTATTTCATGAATTTTCCACCCCATTTGCCATTGCAGGGTGACAGTCCCCCATGCCCACAAATGCTGCAGGGCGTTCTAGCACCTGTCATTAGTCAGCAAGGTCTAGAGCATGCTTATGCATCTTAATATCAACTAAAGCAAGCATAATACAGCTAAATCTGCTCTTCTCATCCCCCCATACACACACAAACACACACACACACACACACACACACACACACACACACTCCAAAGCTAATTATATGTGATTTGGGGATTTTTCCAGAGCAGGGATTATCCGCTTCACTGTTCCTTTAGAGTCAACTGCACTGTGGCATATTCTATTATCCTGCTTTAAAAAGCAGGTCTGATATCTCACCCTGGGCTCTGTTAGAAAAGGAAAAACAGCAGGAATTTCACACAACTGGACCTGACCCTCAGCAGCACAAATCTGGGATGTGTTAGGGATGTGAAAACAGCTCCACATCTGCATGGCGCCTTCCGTTCTCCAAGCTCAGGATGCATCAGGGACTTCACTGGGGCCTCACAGCAAAGCAGCATCCTCTCCGCCCATCAGCCCAGGTCTGACCACAAAGGCCTCCCTGGCCCTCCGCAGGCCCCTCAGCATTCCACTGTTCCTGGCCCAGTTCCGAGCTGATAATCCAATCCCCATTGGTTTGCCTTCTCCACAAAATTTTAAATGGGAGACGGGTTCCTCTTCATTTCCTGTTTCACTCCCTCCACTGATTTTTTAAACAGTTTGCCACTTCTCACCCTGTGGGGATGGATGCCATCCAGTGACCCCCGATGCCACCACGTCCAACTGCTATGCAAAAACTCTAGCCCGTGTGCTGAGCTGACAGTGCAGGTGGGGACCCCAGGTGCTATCTCCACTCAGAGTAAAGTCTAACCTGTCGAGATGGAATCTGCCGGACCCAGAGGCTGACTCATCCTGACCTCGGGCTGAGGGTTCCTCCTGCAACTGGCTCTGTTCCCCTTTCCACCCTGTACTTTCTCCCCTTCCCTTAAGACTCATATCTTGGAGTCTCTGATGATCTGTGTTAAGGAAGGGACAGGCGTAATTTCCTTAATCTCAAATCTGCTGATCACAAACAGCAGGGGAGGTAGAGATGTTGCCCTCCACATTTGTGGGAGATGAAGTACACGCACATACCTCTGTTCCCGGCTCCTGGAAGGCAGGGTTCTTTTTTGGTTTGAATTCCCAAGGGAAGTGGCTATTTTGAAACCAGCCTGGGGGATATGAAGATAGCTGACCATTCTCATTGTCCAAAAAGAGAGTGAGAATATCCAGAAGGTGAGAGGCCCTCTGTGTCTAGTTTGAATACATTCTTTAAGTTTTACGTTGAAGTTGATTCTTTTCCCATAATATTTCCATAATGTTCCTTTTCTTTATTATTTTTCCATGAAGAGCTATCCTCCTATACTCTACTATTTGTGACTCTCAAGGCTTATTCAAAAATCTTCGGGATAAAAAAACAGAGAACTCCCTCCAAGCATGTTATTAGTGCCCAATAATCTGAAACCTGAAACTAAACTATAAAATAAGTTCAGTTTTTTTTTTCCAACACTCAACATCCCATCACACACACTTTGCTTGCTTCTCTCCCCACCTTGGTACCCCTTGCACTTTCCTGGCAGCCTGGGGCGTGCTACAGTGGCAGAGTCTGCCCACCCACTTCCTGAGCAGCACCCCCCACCCCACCCCAGAGCCCAAGTTCACCTCTTGCCCCATCATTTCAGTTTTTGAACTAATTCAAATGGATGTGTTAATGGACGATAATGGGAAATAACTATAACAACATTTTACATATGTATGCAATAACATACTTTTCAAAGCAATGGACAGTTTTCAAAGATTTTACATTAATTATTTCACCTGATAATGTTTTTATATTGGCCCATCAGTTGTAGAGGGTTGAAATTTCCTTCTCCGTTTCATGGATGAGGACATTGAGGGTCTTCGAGTTTAATTGTTTGGCCCAAAGTTACAGAGCTAGAAAGATGCGGAGCGGGGACTTGATAAGAGTGTTCTGGAACCTGGTTCCCACACTGGCTGGACGGTTGTTCGTTCATCCCGTGTGTCTCCTCTTTGAAGAGAACAGCTGGAATAGGCAATGCCTTAATTATTTCTCAACGCAAATACATGCTAGAACCTTCTTCATAATGCAGACTCTTAAGATGCACCACCCCAGACTTACTGAATCTGAATATCTGAGACGGGGCCAGAAACCTTTAATTTAACATCTTAATTCCTAGGACAATTCTTGGGCACACTAATATCTCAGAACCTTTTCCTTGAGTCAAGGAATTGGATTTCTAACAGGGAAATTTCAGACTTCAGAGAAAGAAAGATCAAAGAACTATTTGGGAAATAGAAACTCTTCTGTTGAATGCCATTAATACTTTCTGAGCACACGCTTATTTTATGGTGGTCTGTACACCCCAGAATGGCCAGGCTCTGCCTAAGTATTGTTCCAAACCCTTAACCCCACCTCAAGACTTCTCTACTCCAACTGGGAGCACCCAGTATAGTTTGAAGAGAGGGGCTGTCTTTGGCTTCTCTCTTTTGTCTTTCCTCGGTCTCCATGTTCTGCTTGATGTTGTTAAACTCAAAAAGGAAAAGAAAACATAAAAGAGTATTAGGAAAACACCCTCTTCCTTCCTCTCAAGAACATTTTTCTCCACCGTTTTGCAAGAATAATATATTATTATCAAGGACCAAATCCCCACCGTGGCTACATTCATGTAAAATTCAAAAACATCTGGATAATTGATTGACTTTCTCTCTTTTTATTTGAATGTGCAGCATTGTGTACAACCAGCCTGTGTGTTCTCCCATGGGAACTACTGAGGATGTAAATCCTTCCCTCAGCTCTTTAATTAAAGTTACGAAAACATCAAGAGGGTCTCACCCTTGTAAACACAAGGAGCCTTTCCAGGAAATAGCTCTGCCTCTTGTGTTAACAGATGTCATGGGGCAGTTGGGTGGGAGAGTGTTGTTTTAAAATTCTCAATCTGCCTCACAAGAGTTTTTTCCTTAGATGGTTCCTGGATAGCATCACATGCTTTTCTCCTTTCAACTCTCACATCACTTCGTGTAGTTTTTCTACTCTGTCTCACTGCTATGGTCTGAGTGTTTGTGTTCCCCCAAAATTCCTATGTTGAAACCCCCAAGGCAATGGTGTTAGGAGCTATGACCTTTGAGACGTAACTAGGTCATGAGAGCTTTGAGGATTAAGAATGGGATTCATGCCCTTGTAAAAGTGACCCCAGAGAGAGCCCTTGCACCTTCTACCATGTGAGGGCACAGCAAGAAGTTGGCGATCTCTAGGCCAGAAGAGGGCATTCACCAGAACCTGACTATGCTGGCACCTTGATCCTGGACTTGGATCCCACAGAACTGTGGAAAATAATTTCTGTTGTTTATGAATTTCCCAGTGTGTGGCGTTTTGTTATAGCAGCCAAAACAGACTGAGACACCCACCTTGAGCACTTGTCAGGTGGACCAGAAATAATACAAAGGCCAACTCCTTAGACCAGTGACAGTCATCATCTGCCATCTGATTTCCCTGGATTAGGCCACATTCTCATTATTTGCCTCCTCATACTGAGATAGTGAACAGCTTTGTAGTTATACAATATTGGATGTATCCGCCTGACTTTAAATACCTGGATGAAAAGTAGAAAATCTTCTCAGAAAATCAGGATGCTTAGCATCATGGTGACAAGGTTCCAGATACCTGACAGACTTATTCCTTTATCCAGATCTTTTCTGGGTTATTGGTTTGAATATCCCCTTGCATGCTGTTTTGTCAACAGTAAGCAGCCTTCCAGGTGAGCATTCTTCTGTTCCAAGGAAGGGCAGCAAGCTCCTGGAAGGAAATGCTGAGCATCTTCACCCTGGGGGGAAATAGAGTCAGTACAGAGGAGACCTAAGAGAACACTTCCCAGAAGCAGGCAGGTGAGAAGACCGAAGGTACAGGAGGTTGGGGTCAAATATTTTGGACTCTTGAAGATAAGCAATTCTGAGTTCAGCCATGGTGTAGCAATCAGTCCTAATATATGGCTGATGAGCAACTAAGTAGAATAGATATAAAGGTCATTGGAACTGACTCATTTAAAGAATCGAACTGGAAGGGCAGAGATACCTCCATATGGATGCCAAAGTCCCTGGGATGATCGCATAACAACCTGTGCTCAAGTCATCAACAACAGCCATAGATTGTCCACAAAATATCAAATAGTAAAAGCAAAAGGCAGTAAATAGAGCAGTATGACAGGATTGGCCTTCCAAAGAGGTGCTATGCCCAGAAGTCCAGAAATTGGATCCTAGATCTGACCACCACTAATTTGCTGTTGACCCTAGGCAAGTCATTTAACATCTTTGAGACCTGGTTTAACTTATATGTAAGAGAAGAGGGTTAGGTTGGATGATCCCTATGGCTTCCTCTAGCTCTGACTTCCAGTCCCATCTGGTTCAGGGAGGAGGGAGTTGAGGGAAGCAGAGAGGCCCTGGATGATGGGTTATTGCTGCCAAAATCACCCTTTCCCCTCCCTCCTCCTGTTCTCTCATTGACATGCCCTTTATTATCTTGTTGTTGTTGATGTAGTGTTTTTTCCCACAGAGCTCTGTGGGATAGGAAAACAGAGCACACACAGAGCAGATAGGAAAGGAGAGCAGGAGTGGGAAAGGGGAGGAAGGGCTTCTCCAGGATTCCCTAAGCCCCTGCTCTCCAGAGCCACAGGCCGAGGAGGCGTGTCTTCCCGGCTGGGAATCTGAGAAGGTGAAGATCTCTCAACATCCTCCAGCGCCTCCAAACTCTGCAACCTTTTCCTGGGTGCTCCTGGTTCCAGCACCAGATCACTGGTCATTGTTCTCCCGCCATGTCCTGCTTTCTTTCCAAGCTTCTTAGGGGGCCTGGGTCATTCCTGTAAAGGCCAAGGAGCTGAACCGGTAGGATCTATAAAGCACAGTATACTTCTGGTAACAGATAGTTTTTGCTAAATAACAAAACATGATAAAATTTAGTGATTTAAAGCAACAACCATTTTATTTGCTCCAATTCTGTTGGTCAGTGGGGTGGTTATTCTGGTCTGGGATGGCTTATCTGTGGCTGAACAGTCTAGAATAGAGCTGTCTAATAGAAATATAATACAAACCATGCCTGCAATTTGAAATTTTCTAGTAGCCACATTTAAAAAACTTAAAAGAAACAAGTGAAGTTAATTTTAATAATATATTTTAAGTCAACCCAATGTCCAAAATATTATTTCAATGTGTAATTAACATAAAACTTAGTGAAATATTTTACATTCTTTTCATCATACTAGTTTTCAAAATCTGTATTTCACACTTACAATATATTTCAATTCTAGCCACATTTCAAGTGCTCAACAGCCATCATATAAGAAACTGAAGGTCTAGAATGACCTCTGGCTCACATGTCTGAGGTGGCAGGTGGGATGGTTGGAATGGCTAGAATGTCTGAGGCTTCTCTTCACATAGTATCTCATCCTCCAGGAGAGCAGCCCAGATTTGTCTGCATGAGAGAGGAAGAGTTGCTATCGGCAATAGAACCCCAGGGCACAAGTGATTTTCAAACTTCCATCTGTTCCATGTTTGCTGAAGTTCCATGGCCAGAGTGAGATACATGACCTAACCAGGCGCCAGTGTGGGAAGGGTCTATCTGAGGATGTGGTTACCAGGAGGTAACTAAAGAGAAGGCCATTTCCACCAGACCCCCAGGTTGGAGGGAAACATCCCAGGGCTGCCACCAGCCTCCTCCTTCCTCCTTCTTAGAAAATTTCAACACAGAGGAAAGCACAAAAAAGGAAAATTAAAATAATCTGTAATCTTACCTCCCACAAATACAGATAATTCTATCTCCCACAAACAACCACAGATAATCTTGTTTCCCACAAATAACATAGATAACCCTATCTCCCACAGATACTGCTACCTTTCCATTATTTTTTCAATGCAGACATACACAATCATTTTATAAATTGGCAAACAAGTCATAAAATATGAACCACTATCATTTAACAAAACATTTTTAACATTTTCCCACATTATTAAATATTCTTCTAAGAAGTGAATTTTAATGGTTTCATAGCATTTTATTCTATGGATATACCACAATTTATATAAACAATCCTTTATTGCTAAAGGATTATATTGTTTCCTATTTTTCATACTTACAAATAATAAGGAAATTAATCATCTTAGTTCACACATTTTCCATTCATTCAAGCCCTTTTGTGAAGAATGGATTCCTAGAAATAGAATTTCTAAGTCAAAAAATATTGCACATTTCAAAGTATCTGATTGATTTATTGACTGATTGATTCAACAAATAATCACTAAGCATGTGTAATTCCAGATACTCTTAAAGGTGCTAGGGATAAGGCAGTATGAAAAACAGACAGAAACCCCTACTGTCATGAAGGCGGTTACATTACACCGGAGTGAGCCTTCAATAGGGAAGAAGTGTATTACCGAGTATGGGGGATGGGGAGTGCCGGGGTGAGGACAGGGCTACAGATGTAAATAAGATATTCGCTCATGCAAACTTTGCTCAAAATACATTCTTCAGTTTCTTTCTTCAGGGTATATAAGATGGAGGGAAGGCAGGACGCGGGAGAAACTTACTAAACAGGTGACCCGAAAGGTCAGAATACAATTCATCTTCATCATAGGACTGGCCCAGGCTATTCTTCACCTGTAAGCAGTTGTAGGATTACAACTAGACCCCAGGTAGTCAAGCTAGGGGTCCATGGGGGAGGAGTCTCTTGCTGCTAGTCCTGTGGAGATACATCCACAGTGGTACCCACATAACTCTTGGGAACAAATACAGGGAAGGAGATACCATGGGGCAGTGGGATCTTTGAGCTCCTGCCTTACCTCTTTGGTCAAGTGTTTCCTCTGATTGGCCAGAAACCTCCCAAAGGCTACAATCAGTGCCCTTTTTTCTCAGAAAGCTCAAACCACAAATACAAACCCTCTTCCACCATGATAAAAAGGCTTGCAAATATTGAACGTTGAGGATATATGTTTGATGAATGCATGGCTATTTAAATAACTGAGTGAAGTTTTTGAGTTTAGAAAAAGGAAACAGCTTTATCTGAAGAGGATGAAGAGAACTTCACTATTTACACAGCATGCCTGTGGCATTAGGGAGGCAGAATGAGATTAGAAAGGTGATAGTAGTCTCATGAAAAGAGAACTTTGGCCTGGTTGTTATTCCACCACTGATGACTACATTCATGTTCTCGGATGCAGTACTGATCTCTAGAATTACCATATTTTTATCTGGACATAGATAACACAAAGCAGTATATACCTGTACCACTGAGGCCTGAGTCACAGAGGCATCCAGAAATATCTCCCATAAACTATCCTTTGTCACTACTCACAAAATCATTCACTCATTCAACCAACAAACGTTTATGATGTGCATGTTATTTGCCAGGCATTTGTTCTAGTTGTGGAGAACAACTGTTCTGGGTGTCAGAGTTAAGAAACACCAGTCCAAATCTACATTCTATGGGGAGAGGTAAATATACAAGCATATGAATACAACCAGATAGCAATAAGTACTATAGAAATGAAGAAAGGATGATGTAACAGAAAATGACTCAGTGGTTTCTTCAAGTTGGGTGTTCAAGAAAGCCCTCTCTGTGGAAGTGACATTGAAGTTGAGATCTGCATGACAAGCAGGCACCAGACATATGAGAATCAGAGGCCATAGGGAGGCCCAAATGCCCTGAGGCATGTTTATGAAACAGAGAGGATATTCCAGAGTAGCTGGAGCATGGTAGGTGACAGGAAAATGGTGTGAGCTAAGGTTCAGGTAAGGAAGCCTTGTAGGAGTTTGGGTTTTAATTGAAAAGCCATTGAAGAGCTTTGAGTAAGACATTGTGCATCATGGGGTGCCTGGGTGGCTCAGTCCGTTAAGCATCCAACTCTTGATTTTGGCTCGGGTCATGATCTCAGGGTGGGATAGAGATTCTCTCTCTCTCTCTCTCTCCCTCGACCCCTACCCCCCTTGCCCTCCCCCACCACTGGCACCGGCATACACTCCTTGCCTCTAAAAAAACAAAAGATATTGTGCATCTGATTTGTGTATGAAAAATGGAGAAAGAGGTTGAAAGCAAGAGTGAAAACAGGAAGACCAGCAAACAAACTACTGCTATAACCTTGATGAGAGACAGAAATTACACCGGTAGCAGTGGAGAAGAAAGGAGTGGACCGATTTTGTGATATTTTTCAGTAGGTTTCTGATGGACAAGATGTTGGCTTCAGCTAGTGGATGAACGCCGAGACCATTTACAGAAATTAGAAAGACATGGGAATAGCAGATTTTGAGGTAAAACTCAAAAGATCTGTTTTGTCCCGGTCAGGTTGGAGAGGCCTACTAGATGTCCAATGGCGATGTTGTGTAGACAGTTGGAAATGAGCCCAGAATTTTCAGGTAGAGATCAGGTTTGCAAGTCACAAGTGTAAATTGGCAGGACATGGATGTGGTTCAGTGTACTCTTTCATTAAACTCCTTTCATTAAGGTGTCAAATGATAAAATGAATGAGTAGTCATACGAAGAGTAAAGAACAGTAACTCAGCCTTACAAAACCAGAATCATCTGTCACTCAGCAAGTTACTTCTTTGTCTGTGAAATGGAGTTAGTGGTGATCTCTACCAGGAAAGGTTGTCTTAAGACCAAAGGAGCCAACATTTGCAAAAGCACCTAGTAGGGTCTCCAGCACAACGTAGGCCTCTTTCAGCAAGTGGCTGTCTGCTCTATTCAATCTGAAAAGCCTGCTAGAAAATATGCAAGAGAAAGTACAGGGACCACCCTCTGAAGGAGTCTGCCCCATGCCTCACAGGCCCTTTTGTTGACAGCTTTGGTGAAGGCAGAATCAACACTGTGCAGAGCCCTCACTTGAATCCTAAATCAGCTGCTTCTGGGAAAAAAACAGTGATGAATTTCTTGACAGCCATGCTGTTTGCCAGCTGATAACGTATTTTTCACAGATTATTAGACTTGAGCCAAGGAAGCAACAGTAAAAACGCATTTTACAAATATTATTATGGCTTCTGAGTGGAGTTTTGTTTTAGTTTTCTCTCTCCCTCTCCCTCCCTCTCTCTCTCTCTCTCTCTCTCTCTCTCTCTTTTTTTTTTCTTTAAGAAAGTGCCTGCATAGAGCCTATTTTGGGGGCTGACTTGAGTTGTTTTCCTGGCTGCACTCCAGGGAGCTTCATAGCAAGGGTTGCTCAAGCTGCTGATAGTGGTTTTTGTGGGCTATTTGTTGCTGCTTTTAAGTGCCCAAAAGACCTCTCATTCCCACGTCTTCCTAGTTCAAAAAGGAGGTGCAGGACTCCTGACCACTAACAACGAGTGTAGACCCTCTGAAATCAAGGGGTTGGGGAGGGAAGGGGGAAGGGCTACTACTTAAGTCCATGGTCATCTGCTCCCTTCTCATGACAGGGGCAATTCTGCACTGGACCTGCTCCAGGATCCTGGTGGGAAAATCTGTAGACAAACTACCACAGCAAACAGCACCCTTGGGGAATGTTCTTGTGGTGTTTCTGTCATAAAGGGGCCATTTGCGCTCAAGAGGTTTCCACAGAGGACACCATCCCATCATGGTGTGTCACGAAGAGGGCACAGGGCATGGGTATGCTGTGAACAGCCCAGGCCCTCCACACAGGAGGTGGAGGCAGGGCTGCTGCCAGAAGGCCCAGGGCCATGGCAGGCCTGGACAGCCTGCAGAGACTGTTCATTGACCAGCTCAAGTGGGTTCTTAATTCTGGATGAGTAAATTAAGCCTTTACCTGGAGGCTTCTCCTGGAAGCACTGGTACCAGCCCCCACTCTGAATTTGCTGGGAACATTATAACCTCCCCGGAGCTTCTGTCTGAATGGAGAACTCTTTCCCCGGAACTCTTTAGGAATGGGTCAGTTTAGGCCAGAAGGTGGATGTCTCCTGCTGGCGGCAAGTGGGGTAACAAGGAATAGGCAGGAATTCAGGAGCCTAACCAAAGCCAAGAGTTCTGTGAGCTTCATCCTGGTAAAGCATGCCCCTCTAAAGTTCCCCTGCTTTCACCAGCATTTCATCAAGAACACAGAATTGCTGCTCAGGTAATCCCATGAATGACAGAGGTCCTGACCCATTCACACATAGGAAGGGAAGGAATTCCTCATCTTACATTTTCACACTGTGTGTTGCCCTGGGTGAGCCTCCCTGACCACAGGGAATGTCTGTCAGGCAACAGGGTAAAATGGAAAGGGGGAGACCTCCATTCGGGGACTGGATCTGACTCCGGGTTTCTCTGAGCAAACTTCATTCAGTTATTCAACAGACATAGATTGAGCTTCTTGCAAGTGCCAGAGATTTCCTAGAGGCAGCAATCCAGAGTCAATCTGCCCCCCTGGGTTCATGAGTTAATGGATCACACAGGTAAGTACACCTCCCTGAGCCTCAGTTTTCCTG